AATTATCAGATTACGTAAATCGTGTCCTAAACATTTACCGCTCACGAATGTTCTTCCTTTCTTATTTTTTTTCTCCATTGCAATCGACAAAACTGCTATTTATAAGGTAGTCTATTCATAGTCGTTAGTCACAAACTTGACAGTTTTTCCTTGACAACTTGGTGCGCGTCGCCTAGTAACATTATTAGATGAATTTACAAACATTGCTTTCAAACTACAAAACCTAACGAACAAACTTTCGCAATTCCACGCTCAACTGGAAATTGACGTAATTGATGAACTGTCAAGGGACACAAAAATGAGAAAATATTACATGGCACTACTTCAAAACCCATCGAAAATTGGTTGAATAATTCTTTAGTCCACTAGAATCGTGCTAAAGTGCAGTATTTGGATGGTGCTTGCGACGGACGGCGAAAAACAGCGAACAAATTTGCAAAATATGGCTGAAATCGTGTTATGGCGGGGGGTAAGTGAAATGAAATATGTCGTATCGCAACAAAACATTGTTATTTCCTAGGAAATTTATAATAAATATTTTAAAATAAGCATGTTTTTTCATCATATGGCAAAAATTTTTAGAAAATAGGCAAAATTAGACTTTGCCAGGTGAATCTGTAATTTTATGCATAATTAGCAGTTGACCTGGAATAGTAAACATTCATTTTCTTTTAAAATATGAAACTTAAATATGAAAAGGCTATTTTCACTCTCCAGTGACCACCCCTAAAAGCAACCATTCTGAACCACATAAACAATTCAGAAAGACTGTAGCTTTGATATTTCAGGATTTAGAGCTATGTCGACTATGCCGTTTCTGGGTGTGGTCATTTTCAGGACTTTCGTCCCGGATTAACATTTTGGCACATATGCCATGTTGACCGCCATGGTCATATTACCCTAAAACAGTTGAGATAATCTGTCCTAAAATGAAATGCATACAAACTCCTTTACAGGTCCTAGACTAAAGGATGTTTTAAGGATGTTTTCTTGGTATAAATGCTTTGTAAATATAAGGAATGTTAGTCTGATGATCGCTTTAAAGGCGTGAAACTCGAGTGACCGCGAGCGAATGGTTTTTCAACTTTTTTATCTTCAATTGTATTGTATCACTGCTCTGCCTTTTTGGCATTGAGTTCTCTGTCCACCCATGCAGTGACAACCACATTGTATATTTATTATATTATATATATATATATATATATATATATTATATATATTATATATATATATATGTATATGTATATGTATATGTATATATGTATATATATATATATATATATATATATATATATATATATATATATATAGACCTGATGAGAGAGCACTCACTTTGGTGTGGTTTCAAAACAAATTTGTAGTCTTTATGTGTAAATAGCCTTCTTAAACATTGTATATAGCTCCTTTTGTTGAGCACTTTTATGACAAAGGAAACCACCTACCAATTAATATATATATATATATATATATATATATATATATATATATATATATATATATATATATATAACATATGTATATATATATATATATACAGCCGCTAATACTGATTCGCACGCTTGCCTCTCTTGCCTTCTGCTTACTTTTCTACCTACCTCCTTACATAACCTTGATTTAAACACCACCAGTAACGCTACACAACCTTTTACTACAAACGCAACTACATAGTTTCTTGAAGAACCCCATCAAACGCAAACAAAAGCCCTTTTTAAAAAAAAATTATTTCAAACACACCACATGGTTGGCGGTTGTCCAACAAATTCCAAACTACCCCATCTGGTTATTTTTATTTCTATTTCTACGCCCCCCAATTCGCAATTAACTATTCAACAAATTACTCATTATGTTCCCCTTTAGCCCACATACGCATAACGTCCTATTTTTTTTCTCTAGTTTGTTTAATTCAGACAATTGTTACAAATTAACTTATAACTATATAAGAGCTACAATATGGTTCCAATTACCTATGTCAAAATATAAAATAAACATTGTGATCCCCCTATAGGGAACGGAGAGAGCGCCACCAAGCTCGCCATATTGTTTAGTTCTAGTTGTAACAATTGAATTAATCTCATACATGTAACCAGAAAACAGTCCCCCTTGTTTATTCACACACCCCTAACACACTTACTAACAAACACAACGATCACTACTTAAATGGAACTATTACTCACAAAAGATAACCTTAATTTTTAAGAAGTCCCATTCAACTCCACAAATCGAAGCAACCCGACCGAAAACCCTACCGAAAACCCAACCGACCCCCAGAATATGTCATTGATAACCCCTGACAACAACACCCCATCCTTGACATTAACCCATGCCAATCCAACCCAACCCCCCACCCTCACCTGACATGTCTGACGAACAGATAGATGAATTTTACGGACTGACGACGGAGACATAACAGACTTGGAACACCTCCTTATTTTGGCCACAAATTGATCATATCCGATCAGGAAACTGATTCAATAATAGAAGGCCTACATAAAGAAAAACAAAAGCTTTTAAACACAGAAGACGAAAACCCAGAGACAAAAAACACACCCCAAATCACAACTAACCCCAAATCACAACCAACACCACACCACACAATGACCAACCACAATCCATTCCCAACCCCAACAGCATACCACCACACCTCCTGGAAACATTCCGCATTATTAGCACACAGAAAACCAAATTATCAAACTCAAATGCACACTTGACGAACTGGAAGAACACAAAAAAGCACAGACACTACCCCCTGGACTAGAAATCACACACAAAAGCAAACACTACCTGAACAAAGACCTACGACTAAGATGGGAGGACATCTTAATGAATGCCTCACAAGAACTACTTACTGTAACCATTGACTATCACAAAGAGGAAATAACAAACACAGAGTTAAAATACAACAAAATCTGCACAAATCAACAACAAATGTGACACAACGACTGCCAACAACATACTACAACAAACAGACGCCATTGCAACCAAATACACAAAACAAGCCTGCCTAGCACCATCCCACAATCGCAACATAAAACTAAAACGACTTAACAACACAAATACCAGAATCACTCCAACAACCTCCTCACCCCATAGGACACCATACAGAACAACCAGCCAACCAACCAACAAACCCACACACACACCGACCAACAGACACAAACCAAAACCCCTCATGCAAACCCACACCCCACACCACCACAAACCCGGAACAACTGTACAACAATAGTAACAAGAACACCACAACTTCGAATACCAACCCACTATCGACAACCTAATAACAACAGACACCGAACCCATCAACAAACAACAATGAGCAACAATCAGCACCCCACATAAACATTCCATCTCACTTGAACTACAACACAACAACAAATCCTGGATTTTCTAAGACGCAACAAACCCACACACCACAAATAACAAAAAAACAGATAAAACTCAACACAGATACAAACAATTACAACAAACGAAACATCCTAAAATATTTGAAAACACAACGGAACACAAATAACAACAGACACAAAAGCAAAAATAAACTACATAAAAAACTCAAATATAACTCCCAACACAATACTATTGTTAACCTCTCTAACAAACCCATCTCACATGAAGCACAAAAAACCCTGTCGAAAGGTCTTACCTTTGTCCCGACACCCAAACACACACCATACAAGACCATATATGACTCTTTTCTGAAATATAAAAAAGCATGTACAATAAATATTTCTTCAGAAACAGAAAGGACACTAAAAAACATCCATTTAAACTACCCAGTAACTTCACAGCACCAAACCCCGACAACAGCAACCTGTTAGAATACATATCAAATGTACTCTACGATCTCAAAACTGAATTTGGAACACAAAAACAAACTACAAAAACCAACATATCCTCACAAAGCCTTCAAAACCATCCATGATCTGAAAAAGGATGATATAATAATCAAACCAGCAGACAAAGGAGGAGCCATTGTGATATGGCCAATGGAAGATTATCTTACTGAGGCATATAGACAACTTTACAATAGTAAACACTACCAGAAACTAACACATGACCCGACCCCTGAAATTCTAACTGAAACCAAAACCCTAGCACACAAACTCCACAAATCTAAGGCCATTGACAACACAACATTCAAATATCTCACAACTGACAATCAAGCCAGGACACCACAAATATACCTTTTACCCAAAATACACAAAACTAACATTCCAGGTCGACCTATTATCTCTGGTTGTGGTGGACCAACAGTCAAGCTTTCTCAATATGCTGACGATCTACTCAAACCACTCCTACAACACATACCATCATATGTCCAGGACACTACAGACTTTCTATGCCGGATATTTGCTCAGAATAACACACTACCAGACAAGTTCATACTTATTACTATTGACGTAAGAAGTCTCTATACCAACATACCTAATGATCAAGGCATCCAAGCCTGTATAGACATGTTGAAAGAAATCAACACAATTACCCCTGAAATGGAGAAACTAGTTCATGACATCCTATCCCTTGTACTTAAGAAGAACGCCTTTGCTTTTAACAACGAACACTTCCTACAAATTCACGGCACTGCTATGGGATCACCAATGGCACCTACCTATGCAAACATATCCATGGCAGCACTTGAACAGGAGCTCCTCCAACAAGCTCCTGAAAATCTTATACCTATTGAATGGATAAGATTTATAGATGAAATATTTGCAATTTGGACACATGGCACTGACAAACTGAAAAATTCATTAAATACATAAACAATTTCATCCTACCATCAAATTTGACTTTTCCTTCTCTGAGAATCTGTCAACTTCCTTGACACAACTATCTACAAAAACAAAAACAACAAACTGGAATCAGACCTGTACATTAAACCAACTGACAAAACCCTTCTACAACACAAAAGCTCATTTCACCCCACCACATGCAAGAACGCAGTCATCTACAGTCAGGCTCTACGATACAGACGTATAATTACAGACAACAACAAATTACAACAACGACTAAACCACCTCCTGATTGCACTGATCCATCGCGGATATGACCACGACACCATCACCACTAACTTCAACAAAGCCCTACAATACACCCAAACAGACCTACTCAATAGGAAACAAAGCCAAAAAAACACAAGCCGCCCAATTTTCTCCATTCCATACAACACAAACACAAAATACATTGCAAACATCCTACGTAAACACTGGAACATATTGGAGAATGACCCCACACTGAGGAGTCATGGCAAGAACCTCCAATTGTAGCCTACCAACGTAATACTAACCTGAGAGACACACTTATCACAGCAAAACTTAATACCAGACACAACACTAACCAAACATAATAACATCCCATAACCCAAATTCCCCAAGCCTTCCATCAACCCCAAACCTAACCAAAACCAGCCAAAAACCTCCACACCACTCTGAACACAGAGATACAAAAAAATTTTGACCACTCCCAATTGATATTGTGTCTGAATACCACCTTGAAAACACCAGAGTGGATATAACAAACCAAAGAACTTACTGGGACACACTGGGTTACAAGTGAGAACATGCAAGAACCAATTAACACATGACAAGCAAACCCTGTGGCACTCTCCTGTGAAAACAACAAAACTACATGACCTTAACCAGTCACATCAAATCTGGCATCCTGGGCATCCTGCGGACATAAGTATAGAATTACTTTTTTTAAAAAAAATACTTGTCCTTAGCAGAATTAAGCCATAAATGTGACCAGATGCCCGAACAAAACCTAAATGTTCAACCACACAGATTAAATACATTTCAAATCAAACCACATGAACATGGTCATGGATAATGTAGTCATGTTGAACAAGCCTTATGTAATATAATGTACAATCCATTATCCATATGCTGTATATATATATATATATATATATATATATATATATATATATATATATATATATTTATAGTAATTCAAACGCATGACAACGTCCACGTTGACTTCTAATTACCGATGATAATTTAAACACCAACTAAATAATGATATCTATATACCTACAACCTTACACACTCACAATTATATGCACGTTTTACAAGCTTATCATAAAACTTCAAAATACAAACCTTAAAAACCTTGACTACCTCAAATTGATAACCCTATTCACGATTGAATCCTCCGCGGATAACGTCGATATGGAGCGCTTGCGGGCTAGATTGCAGAATACCCGTCCACTAGCTGGAAATCACTGCGTAGCCTTATTTTTAGTGGCTACTGGCTACGCAGTCGAATCTAAAACTATGCCGGATCAAATTACTGCGTATTATTGCTAGGTAGATATCATTGTGCAAATTACTGCATATAATTGCTAGGTAGATATCATTGTGGCTACAGTGGCTACGCAGTAATTCCACTAGCCAGGCATCAATACTTAGCCGGTATATTTTAAGCGGCTACTCGCATATGCAGTCCAATCTAAAACTATAATCAAACTCAATTTACACTTCACAGTATGTCAATGCATATTTCCTGTATATTTAGTACTACTGCTTACTAAAACTATGATCAAATCTATATACTCTACTACCTCTATACAATTTATTGCGTAGCCGTATATATATATTTATAATAGTAGCATCTAAATGACCCAATTCAATATTGTTGTAATTCAATATCATAGCACAGCCATGTTATTTACGAAGGCATGTCTACACAGTCATCTCATCTGAGAATCTCACCTATGACCTATAGCAACAAACTTCTATAATTCTTTTTACTCCTTTTAAATAACTATACAAACGAACACTTTAATGAGTATACGATAGGAATTAATTTTTTTTAGTGAAAATTTCAATTTAAATCTAAACAAGATGTATAAAAATTTCATGCATATAAATTTACAAATTACAGTTATTGACAGACTTCAAAATATACTTCAAAAAATCTTTTTCAAAAATTAAATAAATATATAAATTGTTGTATATATGCAAAATTTACATTAGCTTAGCATGCCTACTAAAAGTCACCATATATTTTTTTAATATCATTAAGAAATATAGAAAACAAGTCTTTACCCTTATTTTCATATCTCCAAAGAAATTCTGCCAGGTAAGATGAGAATGCAAGCTTTCGCACACCAAAACATGGTAGTTTGCTTTTTGCTTGTCTCCAATGACCCTCTATTTTGTTTGTATGAAAACCATCTTCGTTCACAAACTCTTTTGAATGATTCACTAAACGGTGCTGATAACCGTTTAGTTCAAGTTTCGAATACGCTTTCCAGCAGTCAGAAACTATGGTGGTTTCTTTAGCAATATGTTTCTTAATTAAAGGTAAAAGCGTTGCTTCGTCTCTTTTGTCAACTGCTACCATAAAGCTTCTTCGAGATTCTTCTTCAATGCCACCAAACACCCATTGTCCTTCAACACGATGACCACGATGATATTTCCTCTTGCCAAACTTGCTTTCGTCAATCTGAACAGTTTTCCCAGGACCACCGATCTGCTCTTCTCGCTCAATAAGAGTTACTTCGCATGTTTCGCGACAGAACGAGTCCCAGTCTACTGCTGTATTAGAAGCAATGTTAAGTTCATGACGTATTTCATTTTGTTTCATATCACGGCACCACCAGTACGTGAATTTCAACACTTCAGTACGTGAATTTCAACAACTAATGTCATGTTGCTATTTTTGAACCAGCTGTCTTTTCTTATTGACATTTCAACCTTGTGCCGCTTTCCTTTCTCTTGACGCCGACATTCCCATTTGAAACCATCTGAACGATCATCACATTGTACCAGTTTCATTGATTTCTTGCAATAACCGCAAAGTCGCTCTCTTGCAATTAATCCCTCATCCATGCACCAGCGTATTGTTTTCTCTTTTCCTTCTAGTACCTCGAACTTTAATCTATCATACGTCCATGCCTTAAACCTTTCCTCACGACTGTAACTTCCATTCTCAACAAAATCTTGTTTCCCACACTGGGTTCCAACACTTGTTAAATTAAACAACGAAATTTCCGATTGCGTCTCGGCGCTTCTCTTAGCTTTTTTCTCGAATTTAACGCACACCTGAACACCTTTTTCCATATTGGTGCACGCGAACTTGGGTTAGTGTTTATGAATAAACACGGCAAAGGTATACTGTGAAATCCCCCTCGCTATTACTCCTATTACGCTTGCATTTCCGTTCTACATTCTCACATGCTTTGTCATGCGTCTCATAAATCTTTTTACTATACTTCGCTTAATGTGCAAATCAAAACATTATGATATTGACTCACTGCAATTGTCCATCACATATAGTAAGTAATGTACTTTCCTACTTTCAGACTTTGCATATGCACATAGATATATTTTTTTTCCATTTGCAATAAATCACCTACTAACATATCACAATAATGTGTGACAATAATGTCATAATCAACATTTCAGGTGCAATCATGAAAACGTTTATTTACGCTCTACACCTTTCTAATTTTTCTAAATGTATTTTAACATACAATTATTTTTCCATTTTTTCCCAAACCCAACCTAAAACACACAAAAACAAAATCATTCAGCAAAATATTTCACTTCAAGTTTATTTCCGCCCACGCTATTCAATACTCTTATTGCGTCAAACCTCGCTTTTCCGCTAGAAATTCCACGTTGTCGCACTGTTTGGTAATTCTATACTCTCATGGCATGTATCACACAGTTCACACAAACAACACACACGCTGTATTCATTCTTTAACGCTCAAAGCTTGATCAAGTCTTAACTTATCGTTATGGCCGCGAAAAATCCTGTTACAAAAATAGCAAGGCAACACGAGACAACGTGGACGCAGCTGCACAAAAGACTATCCCAGATGACTCTCCAGTTTGATGAGATTTTTCCTGAAGAGATTGCAACTTTTCTTCGACACAAGGCCACTTCACTCAACAGTTCCATGGGGTATCTTACGCCTGCCTTACTTTCCACCACAGCATTCCTCTCTGCTAATAATGGTTGTAAAGTTCATACCATAACCCACGAGCAACCCCTTAATCTCTACACCATATTTGTTTGTTATCCTGGCACTGGCAAATCCTCGGCCATATATCACGGATGTTTGGACTTGCTGCAGTCAATTATTGAAAGCGACCAATGCAACTTTTTCATCTATAAAACTACATCATCCGGTCTTGTCAAACACATTGGAAATAACCACTCGGCCTTTCTAGTTTCACCAGAGGTTTACGACGTTCTAAACAAACTCCTAAAGAATGATGACGAAAACGCCAGCGGTGACGCCATGCTGCTTTGCAAGCTTTTTCCGGAGAGGCCAGTTCCTACGCTTATTCTACCCAACGAACAAGAGAAATTCCAAGCAATACTCCATTCTCTATTCTCGGTTGTACCCAAATGCCAAATGTTGCAAAATTAATCGGCAGAATGGACCAAGGTCAAGGTTTGATCGACCGTTTTCTCGTGTCTGTCCCTATGGCACTTTGTCCAACATCTACAGAGATTGACAACGCGAGAGACTTTCTCAGCACAGAACCCGATGATGCTCTTAAACAAGTATTCCGTTACATTAATCGATGTCAACAGAACTCACCGACAACGTATGTCTTCGACGAAGATGCCAAGCAATTTCTTCGAAATAGGAAAGATGCTTTTATCGCTGAAATGAACGACGCAATTCAGGACGGTTTGCTTATTCCACCAAAATCCAAACAGTTAGATCTAATGCCACGTGTTGCAGCAGCACTCCACGTCTTCACTTGTGCGTTTTCCAACGTATTTGCTGGACATGAGGACGACCCATTACCCTCAACGATAACTTTGGATACTCTACAGCAGGCTGTAAACTACGTATCTCACCTCGAGGCACAAAAACATATGTTATGTCAGGTAACGTATAATATTTAGTGTGTAAGCGTTTTCCACTTGTCTATAAATTAATGCGATGAGCCTTCTTTGTGTATAATATTCACGAAATTTTAATAACGACTTTTTGGGTTCTTTAGTTCATCAAATCGATAACTCATGACATCTGTGATGCCCCAAGACCCCAACCAACAATTGCCAACATCAAAACAGCTGTTTTGCTAATTGCTATTCCCTGGGCCAATTGTGACCTACCGCGGTTTTCGGCAGTGTGCTCCTCGACTCGTTCGTAGCTCCACGAAAACAGAGTATGATGAAGCCGTTCAACAACTCAAGCCACATTTGGGCTCCATTGTCTCCATTCGCGTCGCCAGAAGTGCACAAGCCACGAATGTGTTCATCAAAAAACCACCTACTTCATTCACATCATGGCCGCACTCCGCTCTTTGTGAACTTACGGCCTACACAGAAAAATTCAACTTGCCAATTCATAAGTCTACCACCAAACACATTAAAACATTTCTTTTAAATCAGCAATTCATAACTCAGGAACAACTTAATTTATAAAAAGGAAAACTTGTAAATTGTAACATAATTTCAGTCTATTCCATGTGCAACTATTTTCTACTTGATTTACAATGATTTATGATAAAAACGACTGCTTGTAGTTCGGATTTAATACGTAATTTTTTAATTTCTCGCTATAGCCCTAACCCTAACCCACTGCGTAGCCAGTAGCCAGTAGCCACTTCAACATATTTGCTTCCAATGCTATTACGTAATTATTCAATTTCTCGTTCTTTAAAAACTAACTCACTGCGTAGCTAGTAGCTAGTAGCCACTTCAACATATATGTTTCCATTACTATTACGTAATTATTCAATTTCTCTTTCTATAAAAACTAACTCACTGCGTAGCCAGTAGCCAGTAGCCACTTCAACATATATGTTTCTAATACTATTACGTAATTATTCAATTTCTCGTTCTTTAAAAACTAACTCACTGCGTAGCCAGTAGCCAGTAGCTACTTCAACATATTTGCTTCCAATACTATTGCGTAATTATTCAATTTCTCTTTCTATAAAAACTAACTCACTGCGTAGCCAGTAGCCAGTAGCCACTTCAACATATATGTTTCCAATACTATTACGTAATTATTCAATTTCTCGTTCTTTAAAAACTAACTCACTGCGTAGCCAGTAGCCACTGAGATATTTATGTTTTGTACGTGGACGGGTATTCTGCAATTGCTCCATTTTTTCGAACAAGTTGATGTAGTTTATTGCAACATGGCAAAGGAGAAGCCAGTTACTTGGTTATTAGATGAATTACGGCTGTTAAAATCTGGCCATACTACAGGAACCTCCTCGACCGAGAATGAAGAAGAAAGTAGAGATACTCCAGTTGATCCCAGTGTCGTTTCGGAAGAGGTGGTAAAGTTGGTTAACGGTCAACTCGAAGATATCCCAGAGGTAAATAACGAAGATCTTTACAGTTGCAGCCTCGCACCTTTTTTGGAAAACATAAATATTGCATTCAGGTGCTATATACAGATCAATGATAGAAACATCGTTTGCCATTGATCTCTTTATAGAGGCTGAATAGACCTTTGAGGTGCTTACGTCATGTCGGTCTCGAACACTGGTCTCGAACAATGAATCGCAATGCAATCTGGGAAACAAGTGGGACAAAATTGTATAGATAGAAAACTGTGTGACGTAAGCACTTCAGAAGGCTATTACTGAATACTGATTGCACAAATTTGATGTTTTCCGAATAAATATTTTAAAAAGTGTACAATTGTACAAACTACAAACCTCAGCAAGGTTCGAATTCTTTTACTCCATTTTACTCCAAACATTAGCCATCACATAATGATTCAACGAATAATTTTACGCTAGGTTTATACCGGTGAATATCGAAAGCCAAGTGGTGCGACAGTCTCGAACATTTGGGACCACATTAAAGTTGAAGATTTTGTTGCTGTGTCATGGATACAACAATGTCCCCGTCATTGGGAAAGTTACGGCCGGGTATTAGCGAAATGCACGTTTCCATCCACTACTGGAAAGGAAGCTGGGATAAGAAATGGACTCCTTGGTTAACGAACATAAAGGAGCCTTGGGCAGATGTTCTACCAAAAGATTGTGTATATTTAGGAGCCTTTCATCTTGACGAAGAGTCCAAACTTCAAAGTGCGACAAAACGACAGATGAGGGACTTTTTAAAGCAAGCAAAGTAGATGTAGGTACTCGCAGTAACTATATTTAAATAAAACAAGCAGTGCTTCCCACATACATGAGGTACTGGCTGAAATATTTATAAATATACTGTAAGTATTAAATATTATTTATATTATAATATTAAATATTTTAATAGTAATAATATTATTATTACTATTAAAATATTTAATACTAAATAATATTATTTAATATTAATTAAAATACTCAGATAAGGCCCAACGAGGCTAGGCGAAGCTTAGTGAATTCTATGAGTATAGTAACCTAACTAGTTATGCCCGCTGCGGATCGGTAGGGATGGAGACGGCAGCACGGCGAAGCGAACGAGCTCGGCGAAGCGAACGAGGTTGGCGATGCGTAGTCTTTACTGTCATTTTCAATCATGCGTACGTCCATCAGATATGGAACCTAAACGGTACCCTCTCCATCCCGTGATCACACTGTCACACGGAATCACAGAAGTGAAAGCCGTGGAAGGAAAACATGCATGAACACACACGATGCACACATAGTAATAAATGGATACATACCGTAGGAGTCTTTGCAGACCAACTGAACCTAGAGAAGCTAAACTAAAAAAAACAATAAAGGGAAACCATCCCCCGACAGGTGGAATGTCAGGGGAGGCAGGCGAGGCGAACGAAGCGATAATAAGCAGATAAACAACAAGGCAAGCCATATAAATACTGAGGCCCGGGGAAATACCCCCGTGCCAAACACCCGGCTAAGTACCCAAGCGAGGGCCAACTCTTCGATATTAACTTCTTTTATTATACTAATAAATACATTTAATATATTCAGATAAGGCCCAACGAGGCTAGGCGAAGCTTAGTGAATTCTAATTATTCTATGACTATAGTAACCTAACTAGTTATGCCCGCTGCGGATCGGTAGGGATGGAGACGGCAGCACGGCGAAGCGAACGAGCTCAGCGAAGCGAACGAGGTTGGCGATGCGTAGTCTTTACTGTCATTTTCAATCATGCGTACGTCC